TGCAGTAATTTTTTTGGAGAGATTAACAACAAATATCCCAAAAGCAAGAGAATTCAGTTTATAAAGAGAACTAACTGGATCCTTCATCACTGTACAAGGAACACCAATTTCTGGAGCCCCTGCATTCTATACTGATGAAAACAAATCAGGAAAGTTATAAGTCAGGAAATTTAAGTAAAGTGGCTCAAAGTCCTTATGATTCTGTCCAAAAGTCAGAATTATGTGCTATTCTCATGGTATTAATGGATTTTACAGAACCTCTTAATATTGTTACTGACTCTCAATATGTAGAACGAGTTGTTTTACACCTAGAAACCACTGAACTTATTTCTGATGAAGCAGAATTAACTTCGTTATTTCTATGATTATAGGAACTAGTCAGGAATAGGAATCAGCTCATATATATAACACATATCAGAGCCCATATGGTCTGCCAGGCCCTTTAGCACAAGGTAATGATGAAATTGATCAACTTTTGGTAGAAAATGTGCTAGGTGCCTCATAATTTCATAAAACATATCATGTCAATAGCCAAGAGTTTGAAAAAAGATTTTTCCATCACTTGGCAACAAGCCAAGGAAATTATAAGAAAATGTCCTACTTGTTCCTTGTATAATCAAACTCCACTAGCTGCAGGAAGTAACCCAAAGGGCACTCAAGGAAATGAAATTTGGCAAATGTATGTGTTTCATTTTGCAGAATTTGGAAAATTAAAATATGTACACCATACCATAGATACATAGTCAGGATTTCAATGGGCAACTGCTTTGAGTTCTGAAAAGGCTGATTCTGTAATTACACATCTATTAGAAGTCATGGTCATCATGGAAATACCTATACAAAATAATACTGACAATGTTCCAGCATATGTGTCTAGTAAAATGAAACAGTTTTGTGTTACAACTTAAAGCATATTACAGGTATATGATACAATCCTATAGGACAAACAGTTACAGAAAGATCTAATTGAACTCTAAAGGATGTGCTTAATAAACAGAAAAGGGTAATAAAGACCCCCAGAGATAGATTGCATACAGCTTTATTAACTTTAAATTTTCCAAATGCTAATGAGAAAGGAACAACAGCTGCAGAGAGACATTGGATAATAGAAAAAAACTACTGAATTAAATCAGCCTGTATACTTTAAAGATGTGCTGACCTCAGAATAGATACCAGGATATGTGTTATGTTGGGGAAGAAGTTTTGTTTTTGTTTCCACAGGAGAAGAAAAGCTATGGATACTATCAAAATTGATAAATATTAGATTTGAACAAGAGAGAGCTCTTGATTAGAAAAGGTGATAGGTCATCAACCAGCATGACTATTCAATCTAAACTAACTTGTAAGACTAACAAATGCTTTTCATTTGATCAGATATAACTTGCCAAAAGGGACCCGCCCCAAAGTGGGTTCGGGCACGGTTTTGTTTTTGTCATTCCAGGAGAATGAAGGCTAAGGAATCTGAAGACCACTGGACAAATGAGACATCTGAAGAAAAAGGATGAATCATCCAGAGAAAATGTCCCAAGAAAAAGAACAAATTGGCCTATTGATATATCACATTTCCAACAGGATAAAATTTCATAAATCTTCCTAAATGTTTGTTCTTTTTTTTTTTTCCCAAGACAGGGTTTCTCTATGTCATTTTGGTGCCTGTTCTGGATCTCACTCTGTAGACCACACTGGCCTTGAACTCACAGAGATCTGCCTGGCTCTGCCTCCCAAGTGCTGGGATTAAAGGTGTGTGCCACCACCATCCAGCTAAATGTTTGTTTCTGCTGGTTTTTTTATAGTTCCAGTTCAATTAAAAATTAAAGCTGGCTTTGGAGTTGGGAGTGTGGGTCTCTCCTCTAAACCCAAGCATATTGTTAAAAGAAAATTCAGAGTCTCTGTTTCATATTAGAAGAGCCACCTGGTATGGGACAAAAGAAAACCAAAATCGAGGAACTATTATTGTCACAAATCTCTTACCCCTCAAATTCATACTGACTCTTTAAAACTTTTCTTTAGGTATAGTTCTATCCTAAAATTTAAACTCTCTGTTTTGATATTAATGATCTTTAAGTTTTCTACAGTGAACGATAAAATTTCCCAACAGTCATCTCTGAAGTCTCCATAAAGACGATGGTGACCCACAACAATGATTCCACTTGGATTATGGTAATACCACTAAGCTGACAAACACCACCCAAAGATGGGCTTTGGACTACAAACAGCTCAGGATAATTTCAAGGTGGCTGGCTGAGATGATCCAGCTTCACAGAATACTCTAGCCAGGACTTGGGACAAGACCTGCACTTTCCCATTACACAGAGACTGGACAAGAAATGATACAGCTAGCTCTCCCAGAACTTGACAATTATCCCAATTTTTTTTTTCAGGGTCTTCTAAAGATGCCGTAAACCCCAGACAGCAGGAAGTAATTTTAAGAACATGACGCCCATATTCCCAAGAGGTGGGCTGGTTGGTTTTTGGTTGTTCAGTGGGTTATGGATATTTGACATTGTTTAGGGAGTTGGTTACAAATTGTTATTGGTAATGGTCAAGAAAAAAGCTGAACAAAGGAGATTAAAATCAGGGATCTTGTTCTAAAAAGAAAAAGTGAGGATATAGACATAGGATAAAAAGATTATTGAATCTACTTTTAGACCAAAAAAAGTAACTTCTAGCTTTAAATAATTTACATCAGCTTGGAGTTTTGTATATTGATAGAAATTTGAGGTTCTTTTTGTTATACTGCATATATGTTAGAGAAATGATAGGATAAAAAGGTAGATTATTGAATCTACTTTTGAACCAAAAAAGCAACTACTAGTTTTAAATATTTTACATTGATATGGATTTTTGTATATTGATACAAATTTAAGGTTATTTTTGTTAGAACATACTATATATACATTTCTACTCTTGTTCAAGGTATTGTACCTAAACAGTTCATCTAACAATGTAATATGAATTTCTAGTCCTTGAAAGTTATTATTACAAACTATTTAAGATAATAAAGAAATGAAAGTTAGTATTTAGTCACCTATTACAATCAAACTTATGGTCATGTTAGGTATGTTTTCAAGGTCAAACAGATATATTTTAGATAGTCAGGTGTTCATCAGACACTTCAGAGATCTACAGAATATGACATTTAAAATGTTTTAATAACATAAGTTTTTTCATTCACCCCCCACCTTTTTGACAATGAGATATGTCTGCTCTGGCAGTACCAATTTACTTCAAAGAAGATGATAGGCATTGAAGAAACTCCATATGGAGTTTACTTTCTCTGTGGCAAAAGTTAGCCATGGGCAAGAAAGTGTCCTTGCCTCAATTGCTGACAACATGCTGTCCAAATTGGACAAGCAGAACAGAAAAGTGACTGCAGAATTTTGACGAAGCAAGGTGGGATAGTCCTTCAAAAATCCTGTTTCACAGATAGGTCTATCATATATTTTAGGCCTGTGGACTGAAAATGGATGCCCCAACATTGCACAGGAACCTTGGGTGGCTGCAGCTATTTCTGTCATTTCTTAGTTTTGGAAATTGTTTGCTTTGCACTTCCTGTTTATTCATGTAATATTATATTCTTCTCAGGTCTCTGATGGAGTTGAAGACTTTATAGTTATAGTTTTCCCTTTTAACAAATTCAGAAAAGACACTCACAAAAGAGGTGTAAAGTGTATAAGGTTGAAAGACATTGAAAGATAGTTTTGGTAATGCAAGTTAGGATAGAAAGTGAATTAGGTACAACACTTTTGACTTACCAAGATTAGATAATGTAGTATTTTCTCTGAATTTTTCAAATGCTAATGGACTAGGCATTGTTAATGTAATTATTGTGTGATACATTTGTATATAGTTATTATATTTATCGTATATAGTTTTTCTATGTTAGGTAAAAAGGGGGAATTATGTGATATTTTGTTTGTGTTCTGACAAAGCTTGCACGGAGATCAGAGGGCAGAGCCAGCCACTAGTTAACCCTAGGGGCCAGGTGGTAGTGGCACACACCTTTAATCCTAGCACTTGGGAAGCTCACACCTTTAATCCCAGCACTTGGGAGGCTCATGCCTTTAATCCCAGCACAACTGGGAGGTGGAGGCAGGAATATAAGGCAGGTGGGGACAGGATCCCACCCCCTATTCATTCTGAGGATTTGTAGAGGTAAGAAGTCTCTAGTGGCTGCTGCTCTGCTTCTCTGATCTTTCAGGTTATTGCCCCAATATCTGACTCCTGGTTTTAATGGATAAAACTAATTAGGATCATGCTTCACTCAAGCATTTTCTATGTCAGGTTGAGGGTTTCATAGCAAGATCCTTTCTTTGTCTTTTACGACACTGCCACACTTGAAGACTGAGAACCAGGTATTTTGTATTTGAGAATCTAATTCTTATTATATCTTTTTTCATAAAGGGATTGTTAAAATATAGAAAGAGATTATTATACAGTGCTTTCTTTTTAATTTAGAACTTGCTTTATGTCTAGAATCATTTGGATTTTATCCCCTACCACTTCTTTTCAACTACATGAAGGAAATACCTTCCCACCCCTCAAGTCATCAATATCGGAGGAAGCTTAATTACGTAACTTCAATTACGGCTGGCACTTAATTATGTAACCTGGCTTTTGAAAACATAAGAGACAATGCCCTTCCAACGCAGAGTCCAAAGCACCGGAAGCACAATGTTGTATGAGGTGTAAACAAAGACGCCTGGGGCAAGCACAAAGTGACAAAATTCAGACCTAAGAATGTCCGAAAGAAGGGAGAATAAACAGAGCAATTTTCCTAACTGTCAGGAACTCCCTTTTCATTTAGTACTCTTGAAAACAACCTTACAAATTAAAGTAGGCCTTTTGGTTAAGTGCTAGAGGATGTGGACAGGCAAAGAAAAGGCATCTGCTCACCAGACTCCATTCAGAGCTCTCTGTGGCACCATCACACTTGGGACACAGTCGCAGGCAGGCCAGTCCCGTGTAACTCAAATGCTAGCCCTGGGCCCTTCACTCACCTGCTTCCAGGAGGGCTGGAGTGGTTCTCAGGAGTGTGGAGGTCTGACTGTATAGACCACGTCGGGCCACTAGGACTGATGACAGGTCGGAGGGTAGGTGGGGTTGAAGCACTGCTTCTGTTTATGACACCACTGGCCAAATTCAGGTTTGCCACCTAGAAATGAGGGGATGGAAATAACTGGATTTTACAGTGCTTTAGAAAAGTATCATGAAACACATATGGGAGCAATCACAGTCTGAGAGACTGACTCATCTGGGCCGCAAGCAGTGGCTGCGACAAAGGCACAGAGCACAGACTGGCTTCTGTGCACAGGGAGCCGAGGTGGGGAACTGGCAGCGTCTGTGAGCTCTAGCAAGCGCACATTCTGCCCCTGCTCTCTGGATGGCATTGGGGTGAGCCAGGCAATGTTCAAAGCACACAGCCTTTCCTCATCTGGAAGTTCTAAATGCTTAACAAGCTTTAGTTGTAGAATATAATAGTAGTAAGAAGTATACAAAGAACTCAATCATTTAGAAAGAAAAACCTGGGCAGTCCATTAAAATGAGTATTAATTCACAAATAATTTACAAACATGGAATGTGACCAGCCAATTTAACACTTTGAACTAGTTTCCACTTGTAAGTGAAAATTATTTTTTAAATATATAAACTGCAAAGAGATGCAAGTTGTAAGACAGAACTGTCACATTGCTATATAGGGAAGTTCTAGGGGCTGGAGAGATGGCTCAGCGGTTAGGAGCACTGGCTGCTCTTCCAGAGGACCTGTGTTCAAATCTCAGCACCCACATGGTGGCTCACCATTGCCTGTAAGCTCCAGGAGATCTGGCACCTCCACACAGTCATGCATACAGGCAAAATACAAATGCACATAAAAATAAAAATAAATAAATCACTAAAAAAGAAAGAAAAAAGTGCCCAATAATGGCAAGGGGGCAGATTAGACAGTACTTGTGTTACTCGTGTGACTGTGAGTTCAGAGAACTCGTCTAGATATCAACTTAGTGACAGTACTAAGGTACACTAGACTACTGTCCACTCTGATGCTTGCTTCTAGCCCAATTCAAAGAATGCTGCAGGTGACAATCACAGTGCCCATTAGAACAGCAGGTAGTGTTTATTAGAATTCAGTGAGAAATACAATCTGTGCAAATGAGTACATTACACACACCTCGTGCAAAATCAGAGTCTGGTCATCAGTATAGTGCTGATCCTAATCGTCATTTGGCACAGAAGGAAACAGTGTGGATTGCATTGAGGCCTCAGGATAAACAGCAGAAATAGGGCTCAAGGACCAGAGTTCCACAGTCCTGCTTTATACCATACACTACAGAAAACATGTACTTAAAAGCAAGCATTGTTTTTAACCTCAAAATAGGAGAGGGTATAAATGGCTAACAAGATAGTTACATTTTCCTTTATCCATTTAAGAGAATATTAATATTATTTATTCATTAACTTTTTCCAGAAACACTTGTTCTAGGAAGATGATGAAAACTCAAGAAAAAAGATCATGCTAATAAAAAAAAATCACAATGTAAATCTCCTTAAACATAAATAGACAGGGCTGGGGATTTAGCTCAGTGGTAGGGCGTTTGGCTAGCAAGTGTAAGGCCCTGGGTTCGGTCCTCAGCTCTGAAACAAACAAACATAAATAGACATGTGGACAAACTTCTCAAAAGCTGGGAAGAAAAATCCAGAATACACAGCATCTACTTCAGCAAGGCAATATTTTTTTTCTTGTGCTTCTGTATTTTTAAAATTATTTAATGAGCCGCCGCAGCATTTTTTCAGAGTTGTTAGAGTCACTGCAGCAGTGAGGTACTCGGAGTAAAGCCTGGGCAGTGACAGCACACGAGAGAAGGGGAGAGGTGCCCAGGAAAGCATTTCAGGGCAGGGTGTGCAGAGATGCTGAGGGCAAGCCAGTGCTGAGTGCAGGGCTTTGTGAACACGCTGCCAGACAGGGTCTTAGGTCATCAGGCAGGAGAAGCAAGCTGAAGGGAAATGCTTGCCTATGAAACACTTGAAGTGACAAAAGAACCTTGACATTTACAAATGAAAGAATTCACATTTGAAAAAGATCTGAAATCAGGAAAACAGAAGAGTCATTTTTAGCACCGGTGTGGTGTGTAGTGTTTCCTCTCTAGCTAGAGAAGTTCCTAAGTGAAAACAGCCCAGGCCAGTGTCTTCTCACCAATGACTCAAACTACTTTTCTTGGACAGAAAGCTGTTTTCCATAGGTCGGGAGCAGTCTCTGGCGACTGTAAGGCTGGTGTGGGGGGCACTGCGGCTCTGTTCTCCAGGGTGGGCCATGCTTTAGAAGAGGCCTCAGGAGCTAACCCTGACTTGCACCTCTGCTCTGCTGTCGGCAGATGCCAGGGACAGAGGAAAGGCACATGGTGACTGTAGAACGCATGAGTTATGGCTGAAAATCATGGGAGTGCCTCTTCTCTGTACCCTAGTCCTTTTGAAGCACTCTGTCCTACTTTTTTGTGTACCCTTCAGGTAGCAAGGGCCATATTATGAGACCGTGACAGTGACGCCAGCAGGACTTCAGAATATATTCCTAACCCATTGACTCCACGCCTGTCTGCACTGTTAAACACCAGGTGTTTTAAACTGATTTAACATGATCTTGTAGGCTGTAAAAATATCACAATGTGAGAAATGTCGTTGTGATAAGTAAGAGTTGTACTGAAAACCTGGCGGAGAGATGGTTCAGTGGTTAAGAGCACTCGCTGCTCTTCTAGAGGACCAGGGTTGGGTTCTTAACAAGGACATCTGGTGGCCAAAACTATCCGTAATTCCAGTTCCAGAGAATCCAATACTCTCTGCTGGTCTCTGTAGATATATATCCACAGACACATACACTTAAAAAAAAAAAAAAAGAGTTGTACCAAACCATAATCAAGGGGACTTAATAACAGTTTATAGTGGCTAAAAACAGATTAAAAGGTGCACACTTTGCCATGTTTAGCATCAAGGGCAGAGTTTGGAGAATAAAGCATGGAGAGGAGGGGATGGGTTTGATATCTGATAATCCATGCACTGGCCTGGCAGCCCTTAATTCAACCACCAGTGTTTATACCCCAACAGCAAACACCTGCCTATTGAGTACTCTGTGTGTTATGTATTGCCATCCTTGCAAGATCTCATCCAACCCCGAGTGATGCTCTTACCCCCATTTTACCAACGAGGAAACAAAGGTCTAAAGGAGCTACGCAGCCGCACATGCGTGGCAAAGTCAAGGAGAAAAGTGTGCTGGACTCCAAGCGCACGTGGCATGCTTTTCCTGGACAACACCGCTTAACACCTGCATGGCGGCGCCAGGCACTTCGGATGCTATGAGTTCACGTGTACTTTACCTATTACTCATAGAGGAAGACACTCCATTTCACAGATGGAGAACACCGAGGCTCGGGGAGCCACTACAGCGCTTCCCCCAAAGCCAAGCCTACAGTCGCAGAACTCGGGCTCGAGTCTCGAAACCCATTTTCTACCTCGGATGTGGGAAAACAATCCTATTTACTCTTAACGTTTAGAATGGGGCCCTCCAGGGCTGAAGGGTGGTGAGGCAAGCATCAAGAGAGCCGTGAGAGCCCCTCCTGCTCCAAGTCCTCTTCCCACTTGCACTCTTCCTCAGAGGGCATCAAAGTGAGAGGAAACCAGCTCAGTCAGTTTCACCCCGTTCCAAGCAGAGGGAAAGGTGGCATGAACGTGCGGCCAGCTTTGAACAGTGTGTGTGTGTGGGGGGGGGGGGGAGGGTTGTTGATTCACTCACGACCCACTCTTTATTTTGTGTGTGAACCAAGAACTGGCAGCCATTGTGACCTCTGCCCACAGAGAAGCAGGGCGCTGATTATTTACTTAGAGAGATAGCAGTGATTAGTGCTTACATGAGAATACCCGCAACAGGAAAACTTTCAATGCTCTTACCTTCTTTTCCAAACAAACCGATCTTCACCAAATGGTAACGACCTTGCCCTTACTTTCAGTATTCTATCCTCACCCCCGTTTTGTCTAGAAGTCACTCAACACACACCACAGCTACTGTTCCCACCCCTTGCCTCGGAGATCGGTCTTGCAAGGACTTACATCACCAATAACCAAAAAGAGTGAAGGAATGAACGGATCTTTTATTTAAACCATTATTTTTGTATAGCCACAGAGTTGGCATCTTAATCACACGATAGCGGAATGATTTGATACATTGTTAAACAAGAGACAGGGACAACCTTGGGTCATTCTTACTTTCCAGCACTGCTCTAAAGAACAAATATCTACCAGAACGCTTCCAGCTGATGAACTGCCAATCTGCACTGTCAGCGGAACAGGCACTAGCCACGTATGGCTCTCGTGTACTTGAAATGTGGCTGGTGCGGCTGAGAAACTTGATTTTAAACATTAATTTTAATTTAATTTAATTTAATTTTGGTTTTTCGAGACAGAGTTTCTCTGTGTAGCTTTGGAGCCTGTCCTGGAACTTGCTCTGTAGACCAGGCTGGCCTTGAACCTATCTGCCTGCCTCTTCCTCCCGAGTGCTGGGATTAAAGGCATGCACCACCACCGTCTGGCCCTAAACATTAATTTTAAAATGCAACTAGCTAGTGGCTAATTACTGGACGGCACTTCCCTATAGCCTTGACCATCTCTAGATAAATATGTATAATGGGTAAGTTACTATATACAAATTATCCTGGTCTTGTCCTAGCCTCTTAACCTTTTCCATAATGGGCAGAAGAACTTCTTCAAAGGACAGCCTTAGCTAAGGTGCACAAGAATACAGTAATACTTGTCATTCTGTTACAGTAGAGGTCACAGGCATTGGGCCAGCCAGCTTCCCTGAACTGTCACTAACTAGAATGCATGTTACTAAACCCGAACTTCCAATTCTTAGATTCGTGGCATTGGCCACAAATGGGTCTAGAAGATAGACAGAACAATTTAAAAGTCACTTTTAATTATAGAAACTGTGGTCCAAAGAACACGCCCATGCTAAGGGAGATGGTTTAGCAGTTAAGAGAACTGACTGCTCTTCCAGAGGACCGGGGTTCGATTCCCAGCACCCACAAGGCAGCTCACAACAGTCTGTAACTTCAGTTCCAAGGGCTCCAAAGCCCTCTTCTGGCCTCTGACATACAGGAAGGCAAAACATGA